GAGGAGACGTGACTTCTCTCTCTACAAGGAGTATGTCACTGATAGATGTCCTGATTTCAAGGACTATCCCTGGTCGGAGAAGAATGAGGCCGTGGCTGAGGAAGTGAAGGAGATACGGGACATGGTGAAGGGATTGACGAGACAGGTTACAGAGATTGTGACCACTACAGGGGCCACGGCCTACCGGGACAAACCTGGAGGGCCCTATTCACTTCGCTAGGACCGTAGGAACAACGATTCCTGGAGGAGTGTCGAGGATAAAAATCCTCGGACCCTGATTGATTATCGTACGAGGGGAAGAGAGAGAGACGATGAGCCATGGCGACGTAGGGACCATGAGATAGACCGAGACCGCAGAGATCGCACAATCGCGAGCCATTTGCGCAATCAAGGAGGCTGGATGATTACCCGCGAAGCCCTCGCTATGAGGCCGATCGGGGTAGAGGCGACTCCCGCGGCCGATGGGAGACAGATCAGGGCCGACGAGATGGATATAGGGACGACAGATACGAGAGATCGGACCGAGATGGATATAGGGACGACAGATACGAGAGATCGGACCGAGATGGATATAGGGACGACAGATACGAGAGATCGGACCGAGACGGGCATAGGGATGACAGATACGAGAGGTCGGGACGAGATGGCTACAGAGGTGGTAGGTATGAAAGAGGAGATCAGGACTGGGAACGACGAGATGGGTCGTGCAGACGGTTTGAGCGCGAGGAAGATGCGAGAGAGCAGCGCGATGAGTCGCGGGGGTGGTACAACCGAGGGGACCGACGCGATGAGACACGAGGGCGATATGACTCAGGGGACCGCCGGAATGATTCACGAAGGCAGTATGAGCAAGGAGGGTCTGGAGGAGACCGCCGCAACGATTCGCGCGGCCGGAATGAGAGAGGGGATATGGCGTCTCATCATAACCATATCCCAAGTCGCCTGACCCCAAGGCAGCCAGGAGTTCGATCTCGAGAAGCGCAGACGACAGACCATCTACTCCCAGGAACTCATGCGTTTACTGTAGAGGAGAATATCATATCAAGAGGGATTGTCCGGACCTCAAACGGGCAATAGATGAGGGATTTGTCGTGCTTGACGACCGCAAGTACGTCAAGTGGGCAGATGGTCTGGGAGATGTATCGATGTTCCCTTGGATGAAGGAGAATGTCGAAGCGAGGAGAGTAAAGCCGAGTAAAGAAAAGGAGTGGCAAGATAACCTTTGAGGGGGATATGGCGACCACACCCATAAGGGTGGCAGCCACCAAGTCGGCGAGAGGGTCTACATCGAAGAAGACTGACACGGATTACGGGATGACGGAGAAGGACGGGCAGCGGGTCGATGAAGAGGAGGTTATCCTTTCACCGCGAAAGAGGGGAGTGAAGAAGTTCTTAATGAAGAGTTCGCTRGACGAGATTGACACGGTCGAGCCACTGAGGCGGGCCCTTCGACAACCCATGCAGTGCTCTATTCTGGAGTACCTGGCGGCATCGAAGTCGGCTCGTGATGAGTTACAGATGATTACGCGGAAGACTCGCATACCTCTATCGGAGGAGGGTCAGGGGGCCCTTAAGGCGGAAGCTCCTACAGTAGCAGTAACGGGGACGGGGGTGACTGCCAGAGCGGATCGCATGGCGACAGTCCTTCTCGATGGAATGGAAGGTGTGCCTCAAGACAAGTTTTATATACTTGGTAGCGGGGCCGTGGAGACGATTATAAACGATGGAGCGATACTCGATGCTGTGATCGATAACGGCAGTGAGGCTGTCATCATAGACGAGGACCTGGCAGTACAGGTTGGACTAGGCCTCGATAGGTCATACCTATTCGAGATAGAGACGGCTGATGGGAGAAAGCAACAGATCAATGAGGTTTGTCACAAGGCAGCCATAGAGGTCCAAGGAGTACGAGTGACCCTGCCTGTCTTTGCAGTCAAGAACTGCAGCTCCGACCTGCTCTTGGGTCGAACGTGGTTGAGCCACGTGCATGCGGTGACAATAGAGAGACCTGATGGGAGCCAAACATTGTCCATTAGGAAGCCAGACGGGACGCGGGTAATGATTAAGACAGTGGAGCCTCGGGACCCGAGGAACAGAGCAGCTCTCGCTGTGGGTGCGGGACCCAGTGAACATATTAAGTCGTTACCTATCTCCGGCCGCGCGGTGCGATTTCGCGAGAAGAAATATGGACCACTGCTCACAGAGGAAGAAGGTCGGATCGTGGAGGTGGAAGATTTAAGGAGTCGGCTAATAGTGGACGGCAACTCGTACCCAAAGGAAAAAAATGAGGAATTTGGTGGTGTGGTATCCGTGTCTTTTTTAAGGGCACGGCCCCCTATGGGGGGCTACCCAAGCGACACATGCGAGTAGCTCAAAAAGTTAAGCCAGCGGCGGTGGGCTGCGAACGATCTGCACTGGAAGGGATATCGGAAGAAGAGATCGCGAAAGAAATCAAAGAAAGAAAGAAAAAGGAGTCACAACGCCTAACGGAAGAGAGGATAGCAGGGATGGGCATCGAAGATGGAAATCTGACCCCACAGGAGCGAGAACGTGTGATAGAAATTATGAAGACATGTGATAAGGCAATAGCTTTCAGCGATGCGGAGCGCGGTAGGATTGACCCTCGATACGCTAAGCCAGCGAGGATTTACACGATTCCACATGTTCCTTAGAATGACGCAGGATGGAAATACGCCCAGAAGGAGAAGGAATAAGTTATCGCTTTCCTGAAAGAAAAAATGTTTTCCCACGTTGCGGAGCCGTCTGATAGCGCTTATGCTAATCGATGGTTCTTCCTACGAAAGCCGAATGGCAAGATCCGATGGATCCAGGACCTTCAGAAGGTYAACGCGGTGACGATACGAGACGAGGGCACTGTGCCACACGCCGATTTACTGGCAGAAGGCGCCGCGGGTAGGTCGATTTATTCGGTCTGTGATCTGTTCTCAGGTTATGATGAGGTACCGCTTGACCCTAGGGACAGGCACCTCACGGCTATGCATACGTCATTAGGACTAATACAAATGATGGTTGTCCCTATGGGTTGGACTAATGGGGTAGCCGTTTTTCAGAGAGTCATGGTAGCCGTCCTCAAGGACTTCATCCCTGATATGACTTTCCTATAAAAGGGTCAGTAGACAGGGATGAGACAGAGGTTGTACCTGGAGTTAGGAGATTCGTCGAGCAGCACCTAACAGATATTTGCGCGGTACTCGAGCAGCTGGACGATGCGAATTTAACAGTCAGCGGAACAAAGAGCCGATGG